GGAATAATGCTGCCATGAACGTGGGTGTACAAATATCTGTTCTAGTCCCTGCTTTTACTCCTTACAGGCATATATCTAGAAGTTGAAATGCTAGATCATATGGTAATTCTATTTTTAATTTTTGAGGAACATTATTTTTATTATTTGTTTCAAATGCTTCACAATAAAATGATTAATGATCTTTTTAAATGCTTCATGATAGGAAGAAGTTACTATGAAAAATGTTGTATCATCTTGAAAAATGCCCTTAAACACATCTGAGATGCTTTAAGGAGTCAAAATATTTAGTGGATATGGCATCAATTTCCCCAAATCCAAGCCCTTGGAAGGTTAATCTATACCCACACTGGTATGGAAGCTCGCCTTGCAGTGCTGGCTTCACGAAGGCATGGGGCTCACTTCAGGCCAGTGAGATGGGAAAAGAAGCTATGTGTCCCAGGGGTGGGGGGATGGGGTTAATTCAGAAAACTATTTCCTTATTCCTAAGAAAAACATCAGGAGAAGGTGGCCGTGTTTCTGGGCAAGGCTGTGTTAGATCTGATGGCAAGAAACAATGCTGCCATCTTGCCTTCATACAGAGCGGGGAGCCACAAAGGAGATGGCAGAGCCAAAGGGTAGGAGAGGCTTAAACTTCCATATTGTGGAGGTTTTAGTTGTTGAGTGGATAATACAGGTATAGGTACATGCAATAAATGCACTAATATTCAGGTTACTTGAGGAGAGCTATTAGTTGAGGTTGAAAGCATCTCCACTGATTCAGTAAATAAATTCTAATTTAAGAAATTCAGTTCAGTGCAGTCACTCAGTCTTGTCCAACTCTTTGCAACCCCATGGACTGGAGTACACCAAGCCTCCCTGTCTATCGCCAACTCCCGGAGTTTACTCAAACTCATGTCCTTGATGAGTCAGTGAAGATAACTTGAGTTGGTGATGCCATCCAACCATCTCATCCTCTGTTGTCCCCTTCTCCTCCCACCTTCAATCTTTCCCACCATCAGGGTCTTTTCAAATCAGTCAGTTCTTTGCATCAGGTGGCCAAAGTATTGGAGATTCAGCTTCAGCATCAGTCCTTCCAAAGGATATTCAGGATTGATCTCCTTTAGGATGAACCGGTTGGATCTCCTTGCAGTCCAAGGGACTCTCAAGAGTCTTCTCCAGCACCACTGTCCAAAATTCTTCAGCACTCAGCTTTCTTACAGTCCAACTCTCACATCCATATATGACTACTGGAAAAACCATAGCTTTGATTAGAAGGACCTTTGTTGGCAAAGTAATGTCTCTGCTTTTTAATATGCTGTCTAGGTTGGTCATAACTTTCCTTCCAAGGAGCAAGTGTCTTAATTTCATGGCTGCAGTCCCCATCTGCAGTGAGTTTGGAGCCCCCCAAAATAAAGTCTGTCACTGTTTCCACTGTTTCCCCATCTATTTGCTGTGAAGTGATGGGACCAGATGCCATGATCATAGTTTTCTGAATGTTGAATTTTAAGCCAGCTTTTTCACTCTCCTCTTTTACTTTCATCAAGAGGCTCTTTAGTTCTTCTTCGCCTTCTGCCATAAGTGTCATCTGCATATCTGAGGTTATTGATATTTCTCCCTGCAATCTTGATTCCAGTTTGTGCTTCATCCAGCCCAGCGTTTCTCATGATGTACTTTGCATATAAGTTAAATAAGCAGGTTGACAATATACAGCCTTGATGTACTCCTTTCCCTGTTGTTCCATGTCCATTTCTAACTGTTGCTTCCTGATCTGCATACAGATTTCTCAAGAGTCAGTTCAAGAAATTAGACAAGTTATATATATATATAATATAATTATAAACACTTTAAGAATACAGAGCAAACGTAAAAGTTCCCCTTCACTTTCCCCATCAAAATTTCCTCCCCTAGACCTTTTTTATTATATATATATATATATATATATATATATATATATATACACACATATATATACACACACATATATATATGTCATCTATTCTTAAACATGTTTTTGTTTTTATTTTTTAAGAAAATTTTGGCCACACTACATGTAGATCACTCTTCAAATCACTCTTTTTATCTACAAGTAGGTTTGAAAAATATTCCAGGCCAGGAGTTTTCCATCTTTTTAATTTTAAAAAATGTTGTGTAGTATTTCAATAGTGTGGGAATACCCACATTTATTCTACTTTTCCTTTATCAATGAACATTTATACACACCTCTTTGGGCACTGAAATATTTATGAAGAGTGAGTTCACTGAAGGGGAATTCCTGAGCTAATGGATAGGTGTATTTTAAGTTTCTAGTTGTGGTGAGTGGGGACTACTCTTTGTTGCCGTGCTCAGGCCTCACTGAGGTGGCTTCTGTTGTTGTGGAGCACAGACTCTAGGCGCATGGGCTTCAGTACTTGCAACATGCAGGTTCAGTAGTTGTGGCACGTGGGTTTAGTTGCCACATGACATGTGGAATCTTCCTGGACCAGCAATCAAACCCATGTTCCTTGTGTTGGCAGGCAGATTCTGATCCACTGTATCATCAGGGAAATCTGCATTTTAAGTTTTGATAGATATCGACTTGCCCAGAGAATACTTGTGCCAGTGGAGGTGCCTAATGGGTAACCCTGTGCCCAGGGTCTCGCCCCCTCCCCTCTGCCCACCCCAGTCAGCTGCTGGCCTCTTCCCACCGTTTCCCCTCCAGCTCCCACCTCCCCCTCAGTGGCAACAGCATGCATTTCTCCAGAACGAAGCCCAGAGTGTTCCTGGGAAGAATGAGAGAAACAAGGGGAGAAATGAGAAATGAAAGAAATTAGAGAGAAACGAGGGGAGGAGACACTGGCCCTGACTTCCAAGAACCTTCTTTCTCTTATGGGAAAAGGAAGCAACATTCAAGGCAGTTAAGATTCAACAGGGATGCTATTAAAAATATTTAACAACCTGTATTAGGAACAGAGGGACAGAGGCCTTGCCTTAGTGCCTCCAGCGGGGAAGGCTAGAGGCCCTCTGCTCAGCCAGATGTCTAACCCTTTAGTTGTCAGATCCATGAAGGTCTGGGAGGATCCCAAGGAAGAGGCTGATGAGAGTTCAGACAGCATGGCCACAGCAGTGCAAATGCGCTGACACCCCTGTTGCATTCCTAGAGGCTGTAGGGTATCTTGGGAGGCACAGGTCCTGGGTAATATGGGACTCCAAGAGAACTTCAGGGAGGAAGAGATTTTCTTGCAGAATTTGGGTTGGGAGGAGAAGCAAGCAGTCCAGGAGTCAGCAAGGTCAAGGCAAGCCCTGATGCTCTAGTCCCCTTTTGTTTAAGTGTTCTCCTTGAGGCCTCTCCTCTTCCTAATCTGCCCAAAGATATACACATTGATCTGGGGGCAAATTTATTCAGTTTGAAAGTAACAGTGGACTGGTCATTTTTATAACATAAAGACCCCATCAAATGTTCCCAGACCCCAATTTTCTTTATGTTGTGCAGCAGGCAAGATGCCAAACTGACCTACTTTTCCTCCATATTGGGTTGAAAAGGCTAGAGAGCTGACCTCAGACCGTGAGCCAGCTCCTGGTGAACACACTCATGGGTCTTTCACTAAAAGGGCCTTCTACCCGACCAGGACCCACATGAGGTTCTTCTTGTGCCCCGCTGTTGGATGATGCCTGAAACCAGGGCTCTAGAGACCCTGCATCTGGCACCAAGGACCTGGATGAGGATCTGCCATCCCCCACAGACAGACCTGGGGACACTGAGACCCCCCAAAGGGAGAGCTGGCTGAGGTCAAACAGGTATACAGAAGCAGAGGCAAGACCACAGCTGAGTGCTGTTTTAGGGGGCATTACTTAAATGGCAACCCATTCCAGTGCTCTTGCCTGGAAAATTCCATGGATGGAGGAGCCTGGTGGGTTACAGTTGATGGGGTCGCAAAGAGTCCGACACGACTGAGAGACTTCATTTCACTACTTTTCAGTGTCTGATGGAGGAGAGGCTAAGATGGAGATACAGGAGGCTGCTTAGTTCAGGGCACACCCGCAGGATGGAGAAGAATCCACGGGCCAGCAGCCAGTTGTCCCTGACTGCAAAACCCAGGACTCAGGAATGTTTAATCCGTTTTAAGAGAAACACAGGAGACTGCCCAAGAAGCCAAGAAGCAGTCAGGGAGAGTTTTTCGGTTCCCAGTTTCCGCCAGGGCGGGCCGTGTCCTCTGCCTGGGGACGACGCCATCTTTGGTGTCCAGGTCCAAGGTCCTTTGGCACCGTCTCTCCTGCCTACCAGATTGCCCTCAGGGCTGGGCCAGTGCTTCACCTTTTCTTTCAAGGTTGTTTGCACCACACCCGCAGGCCTTCCCTAGTCTTTTTGCACCGAGGTTCCAGATTGGTGATGCAAACACAGGTCCAGGGTTTCTCGGGGAATCATGAAGAGCAAGAACCTCAGTGATGCTTCTCAGATCTGCAGGTGGGAGGTCACCTCGGCACAGAGCCGTTTATTTTTACTTTTAGCCCAGAGGATGAAGAGAGGGCATTTTTTGTTTTTAAATCAGGTCTTTTTTTAAAAATTATTTTTAAATTTTATGTGTTTATTTTAATTGGGGGCTAATTACTTTACAATATTGTAGTGGTTTTTGCCATACATTCACATGAATCACCCATGGGTGTACATGTGTTCCCCATCTTGAACCCCCCTCCCACCTCCCTCCCCATCCCATCCCTCCCCTCAGGGTCAGCCCTGAGCACCCTGTCCCATGCATCGAACCTGGACTGGCGATCTATTTCACGTATTTTTTTTTTCTATAGAAAGACACTGAAAAGTCCTTTTAAAAAATTTTCCCCCCATCAGCAGGCGGAGGTGACTGGTTGTTCCTAAATTTAAAAAAAAAAAAATTTTTTAACTGCCCCTCCCCTTGTTTAAAATAAGGTTCCGAGTTTCCAGCACTGGCAGACTGGGTGAAGAAGGGCGTACAGCGCTTCCATCCACAGCCAGGGAAGGGTCCCTCGGTTTCAGGCCCCATCACCCCGGGGACCCTCCCCCCCCCCAGTTTCCGAAAGTGTTCCTGCCTGGGAGTCCTACGCACCTGGAGGGCGCTCGGCGTCCGTTCCCAGAGGGCGCTGCAGACTGGAGCCCAGAGTCGACGACCAACTACCGCCCCTCCAGCCACTCTCCCGGACAGAGCCTCCAAACCCTGGGCCAGGGAGGCAAGGACTGCGCCCAGCCCCCACCACAGGGGAACCTGGGGGCCGCGGAGCTGAAAGGCGGGGGAGCCACGGCCCGCGGGGGACCAGGGCTCCGCAGGTAGGCGAGGCTACAGCCCCGCGTCACGGGCCGGGGGCGGGGCTGGGGTGCAGTGGTTGGGGCGTTCCTTGGGGTGGGAGGCCGGGCCTCGTGGCTCAGGGGGCGGGGCCCTGGGGGCGGGGTCCTAGGGGGTGGGGATGAGGACTGGCCCCGAGACCTGGAGAGCTGGGGGTGGGGGGCTAGTTTTTGCAACGGCTAAGGGCCTGCGGGTTTATTATAAGGCGGAGCTCGGCGGGAGAGGTGCAGGCGGGAGCAGAGCTGATCCGAGAGGAATCCAGCCGTAAGGGGAGCGGAGAGCAGCCGGCGAATCCGTAGACCTCACCTAGGACGGCCGCGCGCTGGGCATCGCTCGAGGGAGCTGCGCGCAGCGCAACCAGCGGCGCCTACCCGGATCCCCGCGCAGTCCGCGCAGCGCGGCGCAGCCCTGACCCGCGCAGCTCGCCGCTCTCCTCCAGCCGCCGGTCCGGGCAGCATGAGGCGCGCGGCGCTCTGGCTGTGGCTCTGCGCGCTGGCGCTGCGCCTACAGCCGGCCCTCCCGGTGAGTGCGGCCCGGGGCCGGGCTGCGAGGCGGCGGGAAGCAGGGGCTGGCAGACCCGCTGATGCCGGCTGTTGCACACGTGGAGGGGGAGGGGAAGAAGGGACTTCCCTTCTTCCCGCGCTAGCCCGGCGGGCCCCGGGCCCCGGAGTCCCGAAATCAGGACTCCTTCTCCAATGTCTCTTGTCATGGGGGTGTGTGGGGGGGGGGCGCCGTGAGGGTTTCGCCTCTCTGGGCGAGAGCCTGGGGAGCCCTGCGGAGCGGAACCTGCGTGGGAGCTCCGCACTTATATACGAACGGCTTCACGGGCGAAGGCGCCTGGGGTCGCCGGCTCCCAACCAGTCGCCCAGGGCACCGCTGCGGCCGGGCTCCCCGCTGGTGACCCGGGAGGATGTGATGATCGCGGCAGCTGCGCCCTGCCCGCGGACCCTAATTCAAACCAGACCCGCCGAGCCCCAGTTCCTGGCCCCTCGGCGGAGGCAAGTTTGGGCGCCGCGGAGTCGGTGCGGGAGCAGGCGGGCGTGTTCGCTCGGGAGCCCCAGCCAGGGTTGCGCGGCGAACGAGGGCGGGCGGGCGGAGGTGGGGTCCTCGGCTATCCGTTGGCCGCCGGAGAGAAGCCAGGCCGAGTTGGTAGCGGGAGATTCCGGGAAGTTGGCCCCGGCATGCTAGAGACCTGCAAGAACCCAACTTCTGGGCTGCTGAAGTTGTGCTGCCCGCGGAGGGGCGCGAGCCGGCGCTGGGCACCTCCGGGGCGCGCGGGCGGCTTCCACTCTAGTGGACCCTGGAATGGCTCTTCCCCTCCCCCGGCCTGGCTTTGTGCTGGAGCCGCGCGGAGGGAAGGCGGGTCCCTTGGCCCGCCCAGCGGAGCTGGAGGAAAAGGGGGACAAATGTGGATCCCGGAGCTGGAGGGGAGGCCTTTGGGTAGGACTACAGAATCCACCTTTGGCGAGGGGTGGGTCCCCTCTCTGAGAGGGACCTAGCCGACAAAGAGCATCCTGAGGGTCCCCAGAAAGTGGTCTCCCGCCCCAGCCGCCGTCCACTGGCCCGCCTTCCCCAAAGGGGGCGCTTTGTTCTCGGCCCCTGTAACCCTTTCCTGGGAACCGCCCCGCAGCGCCGTCCCGAAAGTGGCCTGGGACCTGGGCTGCCGCCAGGTGTCAGCGCTGGCCGCGGGGTGCTCGCGTCCACCGCCCAGCCCCCACACCCGTTGCTGGAGTCCTGGGGTCCTCCCTGAGGGCCGTGTGGCCATCCCCGGGGGGGATGGAGAGGGGAGGTGCGGAACGAGGGGCTCTTGCCGTTCCGGAAGTGGCGGTCTCTGGCCACCACATCTGGACGGCTCGACTTCCCTAGCTCTGGCAAAAGGAGGCACGTGGGAGGGGAAGGAGCGGCTCCTGGGGCGCGGGTACCCCGGTCCTCTCCTTATAATTTATTATCCGGACAAGTCTCTGGACAACGCCAAAACTCTCCGTAAGCGTGTCCCTCCATAATAATGGTAGCTCCCAGCTCTTGAGAGCCTTGGGGTATTTTTCTCAGGGTCTGGTTCAGGTGAGGTGTTTTTTCAGGTGGATCTGTGAAGTGCCTTCTTGCTTTGCTTGGAAACACTTTGGAGTCGAGGAACTGGTCCCTAATGCCTCTTGGATCAGTGATGAGTTGGAGTGTGTGCCCGTGGGTTGCCCTCTCCTAGGGAGCCATGGGGACAGATAAAATTTCTGAGTGGAGTGTCCAGAGCACTCCTGGCTCTTAGGCCCAAGAAGTTGGCATCTGGCTTCTTCTCCTTCACTCCTGAAGTGTGGTGGCTTCTTAGGGATTCAGGCTGCACCTTGAACCCACAGCTAATACTCTGGAGAAGAGGGTGGAGGTATTTGGCTCACCTCCCTGGCCCACCTGGCCTTGCCTGGCTGCTCCACACTCTCTCCAGGCTCAAGATGGGGCCTCAGCAGTACTTCACCCATTTCCAGCCAGAGTCAGGAGTGGTAGCAGCGGTTTCTTTGCTAGCCTAGGTGAAGCTGGCATTCATACTTCTGAGTGGGGATCCCAGAGCGCCCTTTAACACTGGGAGGCAGATGGGATTAGAGATCCTCTAAGGACCACTTTCCCAGAGTTTTCCTGTGTGCTGGGAAGGAGCAGACAGCTGTTTTATTTTTCTCTTTTTTCTCAGCTAGAAACTGAAACATTGTGGAAAGGCAGAGCAGAGCCAGAGGCAGTTAAGTTTGGAGGGGGGGAAAGCTGGGTGGGAGGAGGGAGACTCATTAGAGCTGTGGTGGTGGGAGGGCTTCCTGGAGGGAGTGGTTGAGCTGAGCCTGAAAGCACTAATCTTTGGGGTCAGAGTCTGGCTCAGAATTTAGGGTTTGATTTTTCCCCCCTATTTACAAAGTTTAGTCTGGTTTCTCTTTCCCAGCCGTGTTCTCTCCCTTTTATAGTGGCTGTCTGTATTTGGTTCAGAGTGGGGGCAAAAGTAGAGCCCGCTTCTGCCCTCTTTCTGAAATAAATATGGCAGTGGGATTTGCCAGGATAGGAGAAGGTGTCTACCAGTTGCAGAGGTCTGGCCTCTCCCAGGGTTCACTTTGGTCCCAATGGGAAGCAGGTCAGAACCCCCTGGGGACCAGGGAAGTGGGGTGTGACCCTGGGCGCCTGACTTTGGACAAGGGAAGGCTGCTGGAGCAGGAGGTTGCTCAAAACCACTCCCAAGAGAACAGGTTTGTCTAAAAGGTTTCTGTGTGTGGTTTTGCCTGTGTGAGATCCCCGTGGTCTTTTGTTTCTGCCATGCAAGAAAAATTGCTTGTTCTGGAAAGTTATTTGTTGTTTCCCTCTCTCTCTCTCTTGCCTTTCTTGAAAGGCATAAAATCCCTTTTTGCCTTAATTATGGGGGCTAGTAGAGACATTTCCCTCCGGCCTGGTGGAGTGGGTGGGGGCGGGGGCAGGCGGGGGGTAGGGGGGGCTGACTGCCTCTGCCTGGGCTCCAAGCCTCCTGGAGGTGATGTCACTCCTGGCTTCAGCTCCACAGGGAGGGTGGGGCTGGTCTGAGTCGCTACCTGTGGCTCATGGTGGGTTCCAGTAAAATCTCATTAACCCAGATTGGTGGGGAGAGGGATGAGAAAGGAGAGGAGCCTGGAAAAAATTAATGAAAAGCTTGAATTTTGGAGGCGTATTTATGGAGGAATCTTTTTTTTTATTGCAGCAGAATCTTGAATTCCGAAATCCCTTGAGAATGAGGTATCCTTGGTATCCAGGTTTTCTCAGTAAGCTGAGAAGCCGTATTACCCTAAAAAATATTCTTACTTTGGGCAGGACTTTCTGAAATACGTATTTCTCTTCCTTTATTAACAAAACTGTCCTAAGCATAGTTTGATCTCTGGATGCCAGGGGCCCCATAGCTGTCACCATGTTAGGTTACGGCATTCATCTCCTGGGTTTACTGAGCTCTGAAGAGCACTTTGCCCCGGGCCTGGTGCCCTCATGTTGGTACACTTGGAATTCTGGTTTGCTCTTTATCCTCTCCCATCCCTGTCTGATAGCAGCCAAAAGTGACATTTGTGGACCTAAAGAGTAGCCGGCAGTTTTTCAGTTCAGTTCTAATTGGCACTTTTCTCAGCGGTACTAAGGAGCTTGTTGGATTTGTTAGAATTATTTCTAAGACAAGAGTTCTCAGTGCTGAGTGAGGGTCTTACCTGTAACACTCATGATCTGTGATACATGGATTTTGTGCCTTCAGAGGCCCAGCTGGGACCTCTGTGTTGTCCCAATACTACCTAGAATAACCAAGAGGCCGTCAAGGGAGGTACTTGCGGGATTCAGATGTCAGTGACCTCTGAAACAAGCACCTGACGATGACCCCATGTTCTCGGTTCTTCCATTTGGCTGAAGTTGTAAGTGACTTGCCGGTCACAGGTAGCCTGGACCCAGTGAGACTAGCTCACTCTAAATCCTGGTTGGCAAGGGCCCTCATTCTTAGCTTGGGTCCTGTCTCCCTTTTCTCACCGTGTTTTATTTGGGGGACAGTTCATGCATACTGTTTGACAGGCCAGAAACAACTTTGGGTAAGGTAGAGCTTTGGGATTGGGTTTCTGCTTTGCCACTAATTTACCATGTAATCTCAGATGAGTCACTTCACTGCTGAGTCTTGATGTCCCATGCAAAGCTTATTCTGTCATTTGCGTATTCATTTCATAATGAAGGTGTGAAAGTGTTTGGTAACGAAAATGCCAGAGGAAAGTTGGCTGTTGAAAGAATTAGGGTCATCTTTTTTTTTTGCCTGAGGCCATGTAGGATCTTAGTTCCCCAACCAGGGTAACCTGTGCTCATCGCAGAAGCATAGAGTCCCAACCACTGACCACCAGAGAAGTCCCTAGGGTCATCTTCGAGTGTCTACAATTGAGTGCTATATGCTTTTCCTGCATCCTAATTTCATATTTACCCCAAACCTTTATTACATATGTTACTGTCCCCATTTTGTGGATGAGGCCTGCAGAGGTGAGCCCCTACAAGGGGCCAATGTGGAAGAACCAGGATCTATATGTACGCCTGTCCACATGTGTGTGGCGTGAAGAAATGGAAGGACTGGCAAGTCTCCCCCGTGAACCCAGCATAGGAGGCTGGCTGAAACCTACTAGGCTTGCCCTTGTGCTTGTCCCCAGGGTAGCAGCCAGCCCGCGCTGACTTTCATCGTGGGCACTGGGGAGATGTTTGTGGGATTATTAGATCCTTTATAAGCCTGGAAAGTGGGCACCGTGGCTCTTGTGGGGCGACCAGAACCCAGGACTCCTGCCTCCTGTGCTGGGCTCACCTCCTGGCCTTTTCAATGCTGCTGTGAAAACAACCACATGAAGAGTTGGTCATTAAATGATTTCTAGTCCCAGAACCCTGGGAATTTTACAGAACAAATGATTTCCTGATTTCCTCCTCCTTTTCAACAACGAATTTTGGAGGCTTGGGTTGAAAGCCACTCCTTGAAGGCCTGCGTAAATGTGTCTGGAGAGAAGGAATGGGATTAACGGAGTCTGTGGAAA